TTTTTTAGTTCTTCATCAGCTTTTGATCGCAATGATGTTGTTCAAGTGCTGCCAGCATTGCATCTAAAAAGTCGCTCAATCGAATTTTTCCATCCAGATCATAATCTGAACTGGCTGTATGCACTGCATGTGCCAAAAATGGTAGTTTTCGCAAAGTGCGCCCGCTCAAACCATTGCTACGCTCGGCTAATGCTGATAACAATCCTTCATGTCGTTCGTCCTCAGTTAGTGATTGTTCATTTATTATTCCAATGCGCATCATTTCCGTTAACATAGTTACGTAAATGCGTTTTACAGCCGCAGCACTTGGTAATCCAATGTACTGTTTGATGTCGGCACGATCTAAGAATGCCAAATCAATGGTTTCAGCTAAATTGGACGTTGCCAATATTAAAACATTTGGATGCTCTTTAATGGCATCGAGTTGAGTCAACAATGCATTCACCACGCGCATTGCATCCTTTGGTTCTTGTCCAGACATGCAATCACGCGCATAGGCGAGCGATTCAACTTCATCAATTAATACACACACTAGATTGTTAGGATCGATAACAATTTCGCGTATTTTTGCAAAAAGACGCATAACTAATTTCCCGCTCTCTGAAAACCATTTTGAAAATAGACTGTGGCTATTGATTTCTATGAGATGTGTATGACGAAAAGTACGACGCACACGAATAGCTAATTTTTGCGCTAGAGCTTTGCATAAGCTGGTCTTGCCAGTGCCCGGAGGACCATGTAATAGCAGCAGACGATTACAAGAGATGATGTGCGGATTTACACTGTGCTGGGAGAAAATCAGCGCGGAAAGTGCAAATTTTAGAAGCTGCAATGAATGGATGTAATAGAGGAAAATACAGGTTTAATTAAAAAAGAGTTACACACCTTCTCCTTCAAACCATCTTCATAAATAAGATTCTCCCATAAATGCAGAAAACTGTTAGATGGCAAAAGCCAATGACTGGACGCAGGTACTGCATCGCCATCGCCAGCATCACCCGATTCCACATCGAATGTTTCCAGCTCCATTACACGTCTGTGTGGGCAGTAGAAGTGTAGAATTAAATGCCTCAAATCCGCATCATTTAAAAACTGTAGAAGTAACAAAAATTAATATAATTATAGAGATGTAACAGCTTGCAACTGCTACCTCGCCAATGTGTTTGGCTTCACATTCTATTAAAATTGATTCAACAAATTGCAGTTCCTTCAGGCCAGAATTGCTCTCAAAGGTAGAACCTTCTACTTTTACAGATTCACCTAGCGGCACTTTCACCATAGAAAGATATTCACGCATGGGTGCGTCAAGCAATTCTTCCAGCGTTTCCAAACGGCTATAAATACATATCGAGTTCATTGTGGATTTTGTATTTCTTGCGAAACCTACTTACTTCTGATTAGGCTTAAGACATATTTCTACATGCACACTGTATTTTGCACTTAACAAATTCATATTTAGCGTTTAATTAGAATTTTTAAATTTTGCGAGAGGTAAATGACAAATCCTTTGAAGTGCTCCTTCTTCTTTGTAAAAGCTTACGTTCACAATAGAACTTTCAAATGAGTAAAGAATTGCCAAGGTTATGTGAAAGGAAATCGTTTTAAAGAATTTGGATTTTTTTAGTCCTTGTGTTCACACAAGTTCCGCAAATAGTTTTTGGGGAGTGTTGCTGGAGTGACAGTCCTTGGCCAAATATAAATCTGGGTCGTTCCGCTTACGTAGACCCGACTGTCGTGGAAACGTGTCCACACTGGTGATTTTACTCAGCGAAATTCAATAACATCAGCTTTGTTCCTTAACAACGGGTCACGGATGAGAAAGAAGATAAGATCAACGTTTCCACGACAGCCGGTTCTACGCACTGGTATGGCTCGGGTTTTACCCGACCAAGGACAGTTGTTTCGGCGATCTTACCCCATTTAGGTCGGCGAAATATCTCAAGCGTTGTTCGTCCATAAGGCTACATCTGCTACATACTCTTATGCCAAGAGCTGGCATCGAATCAAATCCTGGGCCAGAAACTTACACCTGCTACGCGTGCCAGAGACGACCCCACACAGACAGAATCTGTGTGCGGTGTGTCAGACCAGGATATTCGGTAATATGACAACGGTCAAGGGCAACAGCTGCCTTGGCTGGTGCCACTTTAGGGCATGTTTGTTCAGGTCTGCGCACCACGATAGATTGGACGCAAGTTCCAACCGAGACGCCGCCACCTAACACCACAGGGCAGCACCTTCTACAGCAGCCCACACAGCCACGGCCGGCAGGCAACACACATCACGAACGCCCCAAAATAAGTCTCCCTAGACACACGAAGCACCTACAACTCAACCGCAACGGACTACAGAGCAATATCGAGGAGATAACGGTCTTTATGGGAAGGCATGGTATTTTGATAGCCGCGGTCCAAGAGACGAAATTGCACAGCAACTCAACATCGTTGAATTGCGCCGGATACAACGTGCACCGCCGAGATCGCGAGCGAGATAATGGTGGTGGCTTAGCGTTCATCACGCACCACACCGTGCAGTATCGTCTAATCGAAGCAGACATCGACCGCAGGGATACCACCCTAGAATGTCAGGGCATTGCTATCCGGTCAGGTAATGTGGAGTCGAAATATTTAACGTTTATATACCCCCTGTCACTAGCTGCCCGGCAAACCGTATGGTAGTTGGTAACTTTAATGCGCACCACGATCTTTGGCATTCAAGCCTGTCAAACGATCGTAGGGGAACATATTTGGCTGAGCAGATAGACGATTCGACATTCAGCACAATCAACGACGACGCATCCACCAGGATTATGGGCAGCTGCTGCAGCTCGCCAGACATAACAATAGTCAGCGCTGGTCTGATAAACAGCGTATCATGGCGAGCTATGCTGACTTTGATATCAGACCATCTGCTAATAGTCATAGATTGATAAACCTGCCGACTTCGCTTCCGCGGAACACCAACTTTTCTAAAGCTGATTGGAAAGGCTTCGCGGAATTCACTGAGAGCAACTTCGCTGCGCTCCCCAAACCAACCGACTTCCACCTTGGTGAACGTAAGTTCCGCAGGGTTGTCATTGTTGCTGCAGCTCGCTTCGTACCAGCAGGATGTATTACGGACCCCCGTCCAAACTTCCCTGCTGAAGTGGCTGTTCAAGCCAATGAGCGTGACAACCTTCGTCAGGCCGACCCTGGAAATTCCCGTATCAGGGATCTCAACGCGGAGATTCGGCAGCGAGCTATTTTAGCTGACAATTCATACTGCATCCTCCGGCAGACAAAGCCAAGCGTTGAGTGACCAGAAGGCTGCACAAACTGTCAACAACCTATGCCACCTCTGGCTTTCACTAGCGGTGAAGATCTGGTAGTCATGGGGAAGGCGAAAGCCTCCAAAGTGATGGGACCCTAAGGAATATGCATATTAAAGCTGAAAAATTTGGGCCCTGCGGGAGTAGCGTACCTAATGGAGGTTCTCAATCTGTCAATGGCCACTATTATTATCCCAGACATCTGAAAGATGAGGAGAGTGGTCCCACTGCTCAAACTGGGGAAACCAGCCAACAAAGGAGAGTCTTATCATCCGATAACACTCCTTTCGCCGGCAGCGAAGACACAAGAGGTCTTGCTACTCTCGTATTTCACGTACCATCTGACCCCAGCGAAGCATCAGCATGGTTTCCGTAAAGTACATAGTACAACAACAGCACTTAACGCTATAAACATGCCTGTGAGAGAACTATTCTAGTAGAGTTGGACCTGTCAAAGGCGTTTGACATCGTCAGCCACTTCACGCTGCTGGAAGACATAGAGGCCACTTCTCTCCCACAGAGGCTCAAACGGTGGTCGGCGAATTATCTAAGTGGTCGACACTCGTCAGTAATGTTTAGAGACAAATCGAGAAAACCTAGAAAAATAAAACAGGAGGTACCACAGGGTGGTGTCCTTTTCTCATTACTGTTTAACTATTATATTTCAAAGCTCCCTCAACCACCAGAGGAAGTCTCGATTGTCTCTTACGCTGACGATCGCTTGATAATGGCGTTTGGGAATGGAATTAATGGCTTTGTTCGAAAGTAAACGGTTACCTCTCCGAGCTTTCTCGCTTCTTCACCGCTAGGAACCTAACCCTCTCCCCTACAAAATCTTCAGTTACCCTATTCACCACCTGGATGAAGGAGGTGAGACTGCAAACACAGCTTGCTTGCAGAGGAGCCCTCGCCAATGCACGTCAGAATGCATCAATACGAACTGACGGACGAAGTCCGGAGGTTCATAAAGCAACCTCTGGACTCGACAGCATATCATGTCGACTGGACTTGAGCGGCATTCACATGGAGTCGGTCCAGACCTGTGAATGCTGTTCTGGGCACACAACCACCTGACGTGGACGAAACGGAATTTAATCCAGAAAATGAGAAAAATAACTTTCACGAGAAACCTCCAACGATGGCGAAAGACTAGTCGACTTTGCTGGGGCACAAAACATGACAGTGAATACAACCACGCTTCAGCATTAAAACATCAACAAAATATTTGGGTATCCCCAGGCAAAAACAGATCGTCCGCATACGACTAAGCACAATAAATTATTAATAAAATCACAACACTCAGCCGAGATCTTTCGAGCATGGTTCTACTCCTTATCGAGCCCATTTTCCAATATCTTATCACCACGTGAACTATAATTGGCCAATCCTCCAAGGAGAAGAGAGTATAATGACGTTTTTTAAACCACCTATTAAATGGTAGACCTGGAGGAGAGGGCAGGAAAGAATCATGTTTGAAGATTTTACTTGTTGTAGCGGATTATTTAGCCGTTCCTAAATCGGACAGTCCTTCAATCGTTGTCGTCAAGCTCAACTAATGGTAGGCCCAGGTGTTAGTGCAGTTGGATTTAGTGGGCATGTGAAGAGGTAGGGGGAATCTCCTCATGCTGAACACTCATTGGGGATGTTGGGGCTGAGTCTGAATAGGTACCTATTTAGCCCGCAAGACTATCCATTTCGCAATTGTGACGTTGGTCTCTCGCGGTGGTTCAAGTGGAGACAGCCTCCTGGTGAATGGGGTTTATAGCCTGTCTGTAGAGTATCGTTTACGTGTTGTACGTAGTGATGAATCTCACCCTTCAGCTTATAGATATGACTTCTGACCTGCCTGGGCGAGGGCTCCGCAGCAAGCATGATGGTGTGCTCTCATACTGAGAGCATTTGCGCCCCATTTTGAATGTGATATTGAGGCGACATCAGAAGGCATACCGTGGCTGTTCGAAGTGCTGCCTTGTTGCGTGTCTGTAGCTTCGTTCGCTGTGTCATACTTATTCCCGGTGACCACACAGGCGCTACATAGTTTAAAACCGGCTGGCCAATTGCCTCGCGTGCTGCCAACACGGTCGTTTGTCTTTACCTTAAGTGCTGTCGGTGAGCGATTTAGAGACTCTGTACTTTACTTGCGATCGCGGTTGTGTGCGCCAAGAAATAGAGCAGGCTGTCGAAAGTTACTCCTAGGATTTTCGGATTGTTTACCAACGGAATTTTTTCGCCATCGACGTGGATAGCCAGCTGTAGCCTGACCTCTTATCCTACTGGGAGGACATTCACGAACACAGACTTCGATCGCGAAGACTTCCGCTTGAAATATGGTTGGCCATGTTCCCATTTGCAGACCTCTCTGGGATCTTGTGCCAAGTAAGCCTGCCCCAGTACTTCTTTCATCCACCTTCAATCCTTCATGCTTGGGATCTTTCGTCAATCATAGATATTATCGCTTCACAGCAATCCCTTTCAGGAGTTTTAACCTTATAGGACTTGTAACTTTTAAAGTAACTAAATCGTTAAGCTTTGTAAGAATCACAGCGTATTTGTGCACGTTGGGGTGTATTACTCTTCATAAAAAAATCGGGGCGGCGTATTCATTGGAAATATAAAATTGATTACATTTTTGGACTTCCGCCAAAATACTTTGGACAAATATTAAGATTTTTGTGAGCTGGTCCTATTTGAAACTACTTCCAAAAATCGACTTTTTTTATGTTCAAGAAAATCATCAACGGAATCAAAATAATTACATTTCGGGAGGTATTTTTAAATCGGTTTAGCTCAGGTAAAAACTAAATTTTTTCGCAAATATTTTGCCGGAAGTCTTAAAATATAATATGTTTTATAACTCCGGTAGAAAAACGGCAAATTGTTTTATGATGATGCACTCTAATATACTACAGATAGAAAAACAAACACGGTAAAAAGAACGTAAAATTTAATAAGTTAAAATCTTGTTTGTTGTTCAAATTCTTTAAGCTGATTGCCTTATCAACACTTCGCTGGTCTAGCCATTCTTCAAGAGACTTGCTTTGGATTTTTTAGTATGCGATTCCGGCTATTTTTAACTTAACTGGCAAAAGACAAAACACACGATTACGCGAAAGATACATCCACTCGTAAACACATACATATGTACACATCCCTTTAGGGAAACGCACTAGTGTCGAAATGATTCGGTACTAGGGAATTGAGAACCATGACTAGTGCGCGTTAATTCTCTTTTC